TGTGTGGCGATATGCTTGGTGTGTATATATATATATATATATATATATGATATATATATATATATATATATATTATTATATATATATATATGCATGTGTGCAACATAAGCGGTGCGATAAACGTAGAGCAACATGTGTGGTACTCTGTGTGGTACAACCTACCCGTGGTTCAATACACAAAAGGAGATGTGAAAGAACGCGTTTCGTGGACGCTTGCTCGGAGCGAACCCCTGGACACGTCGGAACGGGGAAGGGGGGAGGACCATAACCATTTGAAGCAGCCCCTGGGAAACCGCCCCCCTCCCCACTTGTCCCCAACTTGGACACCGGCCTCTCTATCGGAGGGCGGGGGGGGCCCTCTGGTTGTGGAGGGCCTGTCCAAAAGGAGGGGGAGGTCGAACCGACCCCCCTATGCCATGAACAGAATCCTACGAGTGTTGGATCAAGCTCTTATGTCATCCTACTACAGCTGGATCTAATGTTAATAAGAAGCTGGCGGAATTCTACCCAACTCTAATAGGATCCTTCTCTAGCTGGATCCAACTTTACTTGGATCCGACTAAAACTCAGACGCGATCCAACTCTACTGGAATCCTACTATACCTGCGCCCGACACTACAGCCTCGGAACAAGTTTTCTCCCAACGTTGCAAAAGTGGCCGCGCACACGCCCATGCGGATCTTTAGTGTGTTGGGAATGTCCACACCCATGCCGCCCGCCATTTTGTGGCCCAGTCGTGTTACAGGTGCACCACAATTCGTATCCACGACACAGTGCCATCACTTCGGCTTGTACACGCCCACCACGACGTGTGCTGATCAACCGTTCACTGTCGAAGAAAACGCGACACATCCCACTGCGTGTTGAGACCAGATGGCGACCATAAGCCATACAGACAGTCGATGATGCTTCGCTCCGCGAACCTCGTGAACGCTTGCTGGAGCTGGCCAAACCAAGCAGCTTGTGAGGACGTCTCGAACGAAACGGGGCCCAAGCCATGCCAAACCAGGGGCCAAACCAGGTAAATCCTGAGGACGTCTCAAGCGAAACCGGGCCCAAACCATGCCACACCAAGGGCCAAACCAGGCAACTCCTCGGGACGTCTCAACCGAAACCGGGTCCAAACCAGGCCAAACCAGGGGCCAAGCCAGGCAACTTCCGAGGATGTTTCAGGCGGGGCGCGCGGCCAAACGAGGCCAAGTCAGGGCAAACCAGGGGCCCAACCAGGCAGGTTTTTTGAGGACAGCCAAGCAGAATCGCCCAAGCCAGGCCCCATCCACTCTCCATAGCAAAACTCCAAGATCAGGACAAGGGTCAACCCAGGGGGGCCCCCGCAGGCGGAACTCCGTTTGGAATCTTAGCGGGGGGCGTTTGGACCGCGCGCCGGCCGATGCGCACGGGGCTGGGCGCAGGAGCCTTGATTTGTCTTGGGGCCCTAGCGTGGCGCTTGGAGAAATACTTCCGAGCATGCAGCTGCATACGAGTCGGGCTCGATCCAACTGTACCAGAATCTGGCTAAAGTTGGATCCGCCCACATCTGAATCCGACTGAAGCTCGACATGTCGGATCAAATCATATTATAACTAGATCCAGCTCGAACTGAATCATCGTAGGGCTCGGCCCGACCCCAATAGAATCCTACTACGGTTCGATCCAGGCATAATAGCATCCTGCTGAGGCTCGATCGTCGTCGTTGCCCGACGGCGCCGGCGCCGGCGCTCGCTGTCGTCGGCTGCCACTGGGGAGGGGCGGCGGGCGTCACTGGCTCCTGGTCGTCTCGACCACGCGTCGCTGCCAGCTCCGCAGCGGGCCCAAGCTTTCGGAGGACGCGGCTGGGAGGGCTGCCGAATAAAGGCCCTTAGGGTCTCGAAAGGGGCCCTGTCGGGCACAAAGAGTAAGACAAATAATACTACTACTACTACTACACACATAATACACATGTGCACGTATAGACTGCATAGAAGAAGAACAAGAGGAATCCGATTAATCTGAAGAGCAAGAAGACTAAGGTGAATACCAATACGAGAGCACATATTAATAATACTAATACGACTAATAATAGTAAGGAAAATGCTACGGAAATAATGATGAGAACGACAAACCCAATAATAAGAAACACAATCCGAATAATCAGATTAGTGATGCTACTATTAACGAAAGGAAGGAGGGGAATCATACTACTGATGCTACTGCTAATCACCATTACGATAACACAATCGACAATGGCCATACCAACAACATGGATAATAATCGCAAATAATCAAAAGAAGAACAAGAACGAGCACATGCAACATGCAGAAGAATAGGAAGATCAGCTACGGCAGGTTCGTGTCGTGCCGACCCCAGCGTTGGTTTGTGACACCGCAGGGATCGTTCAACCTTGAACGATCGGCCGCTGCCGCAACGTCCGATCGTTCAACATCGATCGATTCTGGGTCGCCGGCGGCGTTCAACCTTGAACGCCCGCGCTGGGGTCGCCGCTGGTCGACACGACGCGAACCTAACGTACGCGATACCACGCCGGCTAGCCCACAAGGCGGCGACGAGGCGGCGGCCGGCGGGCGCCCGGTGGAAGGCCCGGAACCGTACAGGCCCAGCGTACGGGGCGGGGACTTCCGGGGCACCCAGGGCGGAGCTCCTCCTCCTCCTCCTCCTCGCCCTCCTCCTCCTCCTCCTCGCCCCTCGCCCTCCTCCTCCTCCTCCCCTCCTCCTCCTCGCCCTCCTCCTCGCCCTCCTCCTCCTCCTCCTCCTCCTCCTCTCCTCCTCCTCCTCCTCCTCCTCCTCCTCCTCCGTCACATTTGACTCCAGATCCGCCCTACTTTTGGGGAAATTCGTAAGTAGGGCTTGGAATTGCTGCCCTACTTTTCAAGCCCCGCTGATGCCAATTTCCGCCCTACTTTTCTGTTGCTGTTTCCGCCCTGCTTCTGTGGATTTCCGCCCTACTCTATGTTGGAAAAAAAAAGTAGGGCGGATCTGGAGTCAGGGCGGGATCCCCAGGCCAATTACAATCACCCTCGCCCTCCACCTTCCGCACCTTCCGCGAGGCAGGTGCCGCGCCGCGGCGGACGCCGCCGCCGCCGAAACCGCTGCCGCGGCCTCGGCGGAAGCCGCAATGGCGGCCGCGGCGGCGGCCGCCGCGGCGTGGAACCTGCCGCGCGGAAGGTGCGGACGGTGGAGGGTGAGGGCAACCCGCGCACAGTATCCCAGAGAGCCGACGCTCCAACCAAGAACGGAGCGGCGGGATTCGGGCAGTCTTCGGCCTCTGGGGGCCCTCGCGGGCCTCGGGAGCGTGACAGAAAAACGGCTCGAGGCGAAAAACGGGCGCCAGGGGAGTGGTCTGGTCCCCCGGGGCCCACGCATCGAAAGACTTCGAGCGGCCAGACGCCAGGGAAAGATGCGCGATAAGGGTGCAAGGGCCTGGGGAGGCTCTGCGAGCGGGGCGCGGCCAGCGAGAGCGGCCAAGGACGGGACGAAGGGGAGGGATGCATGGGGTACCCTCTGAGAGTCGCTCAGCCTTACTAGGCGGGTTGACTGTGCTCAGCAGCCAGAGTGAGAGACTCTGGGTGCAAGCACTGTTTGGGAAGCTTGGCGGCGCGCACAAAGGCGGAGGGGGGAGGGCTTCTTAGAAGGAGGCTGCTTCTAAGAAGCATTCCCCCCCTACCCCCCTCTGCGAGTGGCTGACCTTGGTGCAAGTACTGTTTGGGGAATATCGCCCATCAGGCTTCACAGAAAAAGATAATCCAGAAGAGGTTCGGCCAGCCCATCGCAGGGAGCAGGAAGACGAGAAAGATGGAAGCAGTAGAGGCGTGGAGGAATGCGAACGCGAATGAGGACGAACGCGAACGAGAAAGAGAAGGAGAGGGAGGAGAAGGAGGAGGAGGAGGAGGCTCGAGAAGCAGGAGACTAGGAGGAGGAGGAGGAGGAGGAGGAGGAGACTAGGAGGAGGAGGAGGAGGAGGAGGAGGAGGAGACTAGGAGGAGGAGGAGGAGGAGGAGGAGAACGAGGAGCAGGAGGAGGAGGACAAAAGGATATGGAGGGGGAGGGGGAGGGGGTGAGGGGCGACGCAGGGGGAGAAGGAGGAGCGGAGGTGGAAGGTGAGGAGGGCCCGTGCGCTGATCGTGTCGCCCTCGCCGCCGACCGGCCCACTCTCCCGACCCCTCGCGCTCAGTCGCCGTCGCCCTTCTTGATGAGGTAGGTGAGGTGGCACTTGCCGCAGTAGTAGCGGTTGAAGTGCATGGCCATGAAGACGCCCGGCCCGCACAGCTCGTGGGGGCACTCGCGCCTGAGGCGCGACACCTTGTCGCTCGAGTCGACCTTGTAGAACTTCAGCACCGCCAGCTTGACCTTCTTGCGCTTGTGCTTGATCTTCTTGGGCTTCGTGTACGTCTTCTTCTTGCGCTTCTTGCCGCCCCCCGAGAGATCCAGCGACAGGAAGAGGGTGGACTCGTCCTCAGGAAAAAGAACTCGCACAAGCAAGACGAAAGCTGTCGGAAGTCCGCGCGGATTCTTCGGACCAGACACCCCTCCCTGACGCGCGGAGCGCGCCATGGGCGGCGCCGGAGACGTCGCCAGGGGGAAACGGAAGCGGATACGGAACGCCTGTGCGGGCATGCGCCGGGGCCCCTTTAAGGGCGAGGCGGGCGAGGCCATGGCCTCGCACGAGAAGCTGCGCGCGTCGGGGGTCTAACCTCAGGACGATGCGTACTGCAGGAGCTGACTTCCCGACCGTCCTCGCTCAGCGCAAGTCAGAGAAATCCGCGCGGAGCTCCGAAAGTTTCTGACCCTGTCGGCGTGTGTGAGGGGCTTTTCCGTTCGAGCCGTCATCTCCGTCATTCTTTGTAATCGTCGTCTCTGTCGTTCCCTTTCCCTGGTACCCCTCTTCCCCTGGGCTCCTCCCCGCTCCCCTCGCCCTTTCCCAGGGCGGTAAGGCCTTCGCAATCAGAGAAATCCGCGCGGAGCTCCGAAAGTTTCTATGTATGTGGCTTCCCCTTCGTCCTGGACCCCGGGGGCCTTCCTCCATGGGACCAGTCCTTCCTTGACGGTCCCTGGGGCCGTGGAGGGCCCCCAGGTCCCCCAAACAGGGAGGAGGAGGAGGAGGAGGAGGGCAAGAAGGAGAAGGGCGAGGAGGAGGAGGAGGAGTGAGGGCAAGGAGGAGGAGGAGGAGGAGAAGGAGGAGGGCGAGGAGGAGGGCGAGGAGGAGGAGGAGGAGGAGGAGGAGGGCGAGGAGGAGGAGGAGAGGGCGAGGAGGAGGAGGAGGAGAGGAGGGAGGAGGAGGAGGAGGAGGAGGAGGAGGAGGAGGGGCGCCGCCCAAGGGGGGACGGCGCCGAACCAGGGAACCCCGCGCGGACCTCCAAAGAAGAATTTGCGAGCTCGTGTTGCCACGCCACCGTCCCCGCGCCGCACGCTCTCGCGCCGCGCCGCGCCCCCGCAGCTACCACGGCCGCCGCCGCCGCCGCCGCCGCCGCCAGTCGTCGTCGTCGTCGTCGTCGTCGTCGTCGTCGTCGTCGTCGTCGTCGTCGTCGTCGTCGTCGTCGTCGGTCGTCCGTCGTCCGTCGTCGCGGCGTGGGCGCGGCAGCGGCGGCGGCGGCGGCGGCGGCGGCCGTCCCGTCGAGGTCCTGGGCCCCGCAGGAGCCAGCCGCGCGCAGGCCCTCCAGCGCCTGCCGGCTCGGACGAAGGGGTAGGCAAAGAGTTGTTCCTCACCGTAAACCACCTCCTCCTCCTCCTTATCCTCCTGCCTCCTCCTCCTCCTCCTCCTCTTCTCCTCCTCGTCTTCCTCCTCCTCCTCCTCCTCCTCTCCTCCTCCTCCTCCTCCTCCTCCTCCTCCTCCTTATCCCTCCTCCTCCTCCTCCATCCTCCTCCTCCTCCTTATCCTCCTCCTCCTCCTCCTCCTCCGCCTCCTCCTCCTCCTCCTCCTCCTCCTCCTCCTCCTCCGACTCCTCCTCCTCCTCCGCCGCTCCGCCTCCGCGTCCGCCCACCGACGCCGCCGCAGCCGCCCTCCTCCTCCAGCCCGCCCCCCTCCCCCCTTTCGTCCGGCCCGCGGCCTGCCCCCCGAAGAGCAGGCGCTGCTCGGCCGCCGGCACCTGGGCGTCGAGCGCTCATGCCCGCCGCCGCCGCCGCTGCCGCCGCCGCCGCTGCTGGTCGGTCGGTCGGTCGGTCGTCGTCGTCGGCCGTGCCTGGGAGGGAACAGGGGGAGCCAGGAGTTCGAGCGCCGGTGCACATCGGCTTCCCTCCCCCCCCCCGCCGTCCCACGCCCCCCCCCACTCCGCCCGCGCCCCCCCCCCCTTCCAGGCAAAGGGAGCCAGGAACAGCGCTTTGCACATCGCTCCCCCCCCTCCCCCCCCCCCGGCGCCCCCGCCACACCCCTCCGACCGGCAGGGGGGCATGGGGGAGGCACGAGCGGACCCTGACGCGAAAAGACACGCAGCACCGCGGGGACCCCCTGTAGACCCCGGAATGCTCTGAGCCGGATGGAGCTCGAAACCGTGCAGAACAGAAACGCCCGGTGTGGAACAAGATGCGACCCGGGGATCAGCTGCTCGACCCCCAGATCCGTGGATGCTCCCGCGGGGCCCAGTGACGGACCCCGCCCGCGAGGCCGAGGGCGAGGAAAAACGAATTGAAAATCATGTCGTCGGAAATCTGGGTTCCAGGGAGGGGCAGGGGCCCTCAGGGGCCGAAAACGGCCCCAAACCTCCCGTCGTGATTTCTTTACGACACGAGCATTTCCGGGGGTCATTATAACCCTGACTCGAGATCCACCGTCCTTTGGTTGATTCTCGCACATAAAATGCTGTGTCGGAAATGCACCGCACACGATGCAAAAATGAAGCCAGGAATTTCCGCCGCAGAAAAAAAGGACGGATTTTCCCGCAAAGTTGTGGCGGAAACAGCGACGGCGAAAAAGGGCGGGCATCGGCATCAAGGAAGCTTGAGGGCGGGAATCTCCGCCCTGCGTGCGAGATCGCCCACAGCACGGCGGATGAGGGGTCAAAGTCGTGCTTTGTTCACGCCGCGAGCACGTCTGCGTGTACAGCCCCGGACATCCGGCTGCTCCAATGTTTGTTGATGCGTGGGCCCCCCAGAGGTCTGGACCACTTCCCTGGGGCCGGCTTTTCGTCCTCGCGGTCGTGTCTTGAAGGTCCCGAGGCCCTGCGAGGGCCCCTGGAGGCCGATAGCGGTTAAAAACCGGCCGCCCCGATTTTTGCCGGAGCGCCAGATCTCTGGGACCAGACATGCTTCGTCTTATTTTTTTCAGGACGGCGCCCCCGAAATCCAGACCCTTTCTCCGGGGCCCGTTTTTCATCCTGAGTCGTTTTTTCACGCTCCCGAGGCCCGGCGAGGGCCCCCAGGGGCCGAAGATAGCGAGAAACCTCCCGTCCTGATTTTTTGGCGACGCGATCATATCTGGGGGGCCGTCCTCCCCGCGGCCACCGCCAGCCCAGCGGCGAGCTGCTCCTTCAGGCTGTCCACGCTCGCCTCCGGGCTGGCCTCGATGGGCAGCGCGCGGCCCGCGAGGTCGCGCACGAACAGCCGCATGGCTGGCGGGCGGCCCCTCTGCGCCAGTCCCCCCCTTCTCCTCGGGATGCGATCTCCTCTGCCGGCCCTGGGCCAGATTGGCTGCGGAGGAAGGAGGAACGAGGAAGGAGGAACGAGGAAGGAGGAACGAGGAAGGAGGAACGAGGAAGGAGGAGGAGGAGGAGGAGGAGGAGGAGGAGGAGGAGGAGGAGGAGGAGGAGGAGGAGGAGGAGGAGGAGGAGGGGGAAGAGGAGAGGAGGAGGAGGAGGGGGAGGAGGACGGGGAGGAGGAGGAGGAGGACGAGGAGGACGAGGAGGACCCCTGGTCCAGTTTCCAGGCCCCCGACATGACTGGGCGGTGTGGCCACCGGACTCGGGGCGAGCCCCAGCTGGCAGCCTTGACCGGAGGGATGCCAGCGAGGGCCCGCGAGGAGGAGGGAGAGGAGGAGAACTGGCTCCGTGGGGAGGGCCCAGACGCCCTCCGCCCCCCCCCCACCCCCGCCCCACACACGCACGCACGCAAGCACGCACGCACGCGCACGCACGCACGCACGCACGCACGCACGCACCGCACGCACACACACACAAACAACGCACAACACAGGTACAACCACACGCACACACAGACACGAACACACGCCACACGCCACGCCACACATCACAGACCGCGCACCCGACCATGCACGCGCGCGCAGACACACACACAACCACACACACACACACCCACACACACACACACACACAACACACACACACACACACACACACACACACACTACGCGCACACTCACACGCACACCACACGCACACGCACACGCACACCACACGCACAAACTACGCACGACACACAGACACGCACACACGCACACACAGACATAACACACACGCGCACACACCCATGCACGCGCGCACACACCACACACGCACTAATCCCCACACACACAGTCACACCCCACACAAACACACAAACAGCACACACACACACGCACCCGCACACGCCCGCACACACACACACACCACACACACACACACCACACACACACACACAACACACACACACACACGCACACACACAGACACACACACACACACACACACATCCCGCACACACACACACACAAACACACACCACACCCGCACACGCCCGCACACGCCCGCACACGAAAGCTCTCGCCCGCACACGCACGACACACCACACAACACACACACACACAAACACACACACACCACACACACACAAACCACACACACACACACACAACACACACAACACACACACGCACACACACACACAAACACACACACACACCCAACACACACACCCACACACATCACAACACACCACAACACACGCACCACACGCACACACGCACGCACACACGCACACACACACACACACACACACACGCACACACGCCCGCACACACGCCCGCACACACGCCCGCACCCGCACACACGCCCGCACACACAAGCCCGCACACACGCCCGCACACACGCCCGCACACACGCACACACACACACACACACGCACACACACACACACGCAAAATGCGCCAGAATATGGAAAAATAGTGGCCAGACTATTTTCTGACTACTTCTAAATTCTACTCCTGTAGAGGGACAGGCCCGACTTCATCCCGCTGGCCTCCGCCAGGCCTCTTGCCGTCGCTCGGACGTCCATCTCCCGTGCATTCTTCGGTTTCGCGCGTGCTTTCTTTTTTGCTCGATGGTCAGGATGGTCCTCGATGGCCCTCGCCGCGGAAGAGGTGCACGCGGCCGAGCGATGCTAAGGGCAGACATCCGACGTCTCGATTTGTTCGAAACGCGGGCCCCCGACCTCCCGACCACTTCCCCAGGGCCGGTTTTTCGTCCCGAGTCGTTTTGGACGGTCCCGAGGCCCAGCGAGGGCCCCGAGAGACCGAAAACTGCGAAAGACCTCCGTCTCGATTTTTTCGAGACGCCCGATGTCTGGGTGCCCTGACGCCCGAGGATCTCTGAGCTCTGGCGGTCCTGCAGGGCCGCGCTGCTGGGAGCGCCCCAGCACGCTCTGCATGGGCCGACGCACCTCGATCCCGGATCCCGGCCCGGACGGGGCCCCCGTCCTGGAGCGCACGAGGTGGCCGAGGTGAGTGGGGACAGGGGCGTGAGAGGAGGAGGAGGAGGAGGAGGAGGAG